CACCCAGAGCTGGGAAGGTTTTGGGGTTCAATCCAACAGTGAAAACTTAAGAGGCTGGACATAGGCAAACATCTCTCCAGAGACCAGAGAACTTCCCTTGCTTTGTCCCTTTTCAGCTGCAGCAGACTAGCACGACACAGACCATTTTGACCTCATTTCCTTTTCACCTTTTTTACTGATTAGTCTGAGCAATAACCTACATGACTACAATTTAGCTGAGACAGGCAGAATCTACACCAAATTCCTCTAGGGAGAAGGAGAATTCTCCCCACCAACCAAAATACAAACTGATTCAACAGCATTGCTTTGCTCACAGTGAAGGGATGGATTAGAAACCTACGGAGTGTTTAGACACACTCTGAGATGGGTGTTATGGAAGGAAGAAATAGACATCCACAGTCCTTTGAGCACACTAGCTCACCTGAGAGCTCAAATAAAAATTATAAAAATACAAGAAAGGGCTGAAACCCTCCCCTCCCCAAATGATTAGAGGCTGACCAGGAAGCCCACCAACCCCTCCTCCAGGTGTGCAGACCCCCTGACACCAGTTCATAGCACTGTCTATTCACGTGTCTCTGCTAGGCTTGCACTGTAGCTTCTCTGCTGACTTCAGGAGGAAACTACTATTTCCAAATGATATTTTTTACTTTTTTTTTTTTCCTGCTTTGTTTTTCTACTTAACTGCATAGCGTATTGCAATCACCTTATTAATGCTGCTCTGCTTTGGTTAGCTACACATAACAGTGTTTATTAGAGGAGATTATTACAAGTATGAAAATGTTCATTATCACAGTTGTGATATGACATTATCTAATTTGTGGGAAATGGAACAAATGCATTCCTACATGAAAATCAACACAGTGATTATGAGCTCAGTCTTCTGGTTTACTTCAGAGCTACAGGGTATCTGTTTCCTTTTCAGTTTAGGAGTGCCAGTGCTTCATCTCCCACCTGGTTCGCTTTCCACATGCGACTACCACATAGCAGCTGGCAATTACCTTGTAGGGATGGATGCTACCTATTCTCTCACAAAATACCCCGCAAATACAAATTTCCAGGAACTGCCTGAAAGGATGATTAGGAAGTGTCCATAGACATTCCAACCAGGTTCCCTATGTTCTGTTCTCCACCCTGGTAGCTCAGCTCCTTACAGCAAACATTTCCAAACTGAACACTGTGTGTGTGCTGTGCATCATCCCAGAAGCACGGGCTTGATCCGGTCCCTCCCTGTGCCACCAGCTGCCCCATTCCAGGCTCACAGGGGGCTACAGAAGCCTCTGGGCAGTCTCCAGACACTTGTGCCCCACGGGCTGGCAGTGGCAGAGGGAGAAGGCAAGGAGCTGACCCCACACAGCTCCCAGAGGCTCCTGGCTGGAGCCCAGCTCTGGACCTGCCCCCTCCTAGTGCTCCCATGTGAACCTGGAGCACATTTCTGACTGCCGGCACAGGTGTGAGCTGCACCTGGCAAAGCATTCCCTTTGTTCTGTGCGCTAAAAACGGGAGCTCACAGGTGCACCTGGTGCTGTGGGGTGACAGGACTGTCCCCGAGGGAAAGGCCCTCTGCTCCGGGGGAGTGCCCACGGCTGCTGTGCTCCAGTGAAATCCTACGGAGCGCGGTCACTTCCCGCAACATCTCAGCTCTCTTGGCCAGGCCAGCCTGCAGTCCCTGATGTAACATGTCATCTACTGCACTCTCAGAATTCATCTTCTAATGCCTTTGGAGGTCTAAATTATCTGGAGTTTGCTTTATGCCCTCTCATAGCCCAGATGCGGCCCCACCTTCCATACACTCTAAAGTGTTCAATTCCACTGAGCTACCCCAAATTCCATTGTAACCCCCTTGACTTCTTTTGGAAAGCAAAGATGTGCCTTATGGCCACCAAAATCTCTTTTTTCAACCCAAATCTGCACACTGCTCTGCTCCGAGTCCACCAGCACATTTAGTGCTGCAAATAGATACAATTAATCATTCTTGCAAACCAGATTTGAAGGAGGAATGAACAACACCCACCTCAAACACTGGGATTTGTCTCTTGTAATCATGGACGGGAAGGAGTAACAATTCAGAAACACATCCAAGAAAGGTATTCCTGCTCATGGCAGAGTGGAGGGACTCATAACATTTAAAGGCCCTCTCCAATCCTGCCTATTCCATGATTCCATTCTATGATTTTTAGACTTGGTTTCTATTTCCCAGGTTAATGGACTTGATCAAAATTCTTCTGGACAGCAAAGACAGGTAGCTTTTCTTTGGCCCCACAACACAAGTACCTAGCTGTTATTTACAGCTGTCATGCCACTGAAATGGTACAACTCATGAACTCCATGAAATAGACTCAGCTCTCCTAACCTGTACTTCATGATTCACCTGTACTTGGATGATTTACAGCAAAGAATGAAGATATAAAAGATGATCTGCATTTCTCCTTGTTGTCCACAGGCTTTTCCACACAGAGTCACAGCCAGCAGCCTGGTCCTGGGGAACGTGCACTACAGGAAATCATGCCATTTTTAGGCATTTAAAACCATCCACAGGCCATGCACTGCTATTGAATGGGAATGATTTGTCCGTGCTACCACAGCTAAGACTTAAAGAGATGGATCTCGAGAAGGGAGGGAAGCAATAATTATACTAATTGGTCCTTTGTAAGTAACAGCTCATAAGCACAAAGAAAAGCTGCAATGAACTTCAGGGCTACCTTAGCCTGTCCTACCATTTGAAACAACATTCTCTTTCCTATTCCCTTCCTGCTGGTTTTCCCTTTTCTGTTCATGATCCTGTAACAGGAGGACACTGTTAACAGGAGGTCAGATCCAACACCATCCTCAGCCTCAGCAATTTTCCACATGTAAAATGGGTCTTCTGGAAATCTTTTCTGAGCCACCCACAGTGGCTGCTGTGGGAGGCTTTAGGGGAACAAGTGCTACCTGTGCTTTTGCCCAGCCTCAGGAACACACGCTTGAAACCCAAACGGATCACCCAACTGCCTTCACAGCCAACACTCAGGAGCAGGAAAAATCCAGCAAGTTCCATTTCTCAGGTATGGATTTCATCTGATGATCTGGTTGTCTTTCTCACACAGCTGACAACACCAACACTGGAATTAGGGGTTTTTATATGCTTTGTGGTTTGGTTTTATAGTGGAAACCCCTCCCCCCGCCATCCCTTCACACCCCTAATCAGTGGAACAGCAGAGAAAGGACAAATCCTCATCTTCTAAGTTCTCCAATTTCCACCAACAGATTCCACCTAATTATTTGAAGCACCTAAACTCTTCTGATGGCTGCACTGCTGCCCACAGAAGCACAGCTAGAACTTGCTCCAATCACCACGGAAGCCACATCCAAGCTTACAGGGTCCTCAGACACATCAGTGAGGCAGGAGTGTTCCTCTCTGGCCTGTCACAGCAAGCCCCCCACCAAAAGATCAGCACAGTCACCGAGAGACTTGCTCTGGGACATAAAGAAGGAGTTCCCAACTGTTGCATAATTTCCCAAGGCTTTTGTCAACACCAGGGCTCACATCCACAGGGCCCTTTATCACCCTGAATAAACAAGTGATGTTTAATGCATACCAGAGGAGAGGTTAGGGCTAGACAGGGTAAACATACACCTGTGTAAAGAAGTCAGGACCTGTCTGCCAAAGTTCTTCTGGCCACGACACCGGCACTGGCTTCCGGGTGAATTCCACCTCCTACAGCTCATTCCTCACACACGCTGCTCCCGATCAGGTCTGGGTCACCAAGCAAGTGTAGGCAAGGCTTCTGTCCCAGCAGGCTCACTTGAGGGAACGACCCTCCCACAACAACCTGCCACATTGGGGTGTGTAAGAAAAGGGGAGGAAACAGGAACCCCAGCTAGTGCTGTTGGGGTTGAGTTTCCTATGCAAGGATAGGCTGGCTATACATCCAGAAAAGACAACAGAAATTCATCCTCTGGCAGAGGTCAGTTGCTAAGGGTCCAGACACAGCCTCTAAAGCTGTACAGAGGGCACTGGCCAGGTTAAAAACCCCACAGTTCCACAGGGAACACCTGCTCTCTGTTGCCTCTGTAGGTACACAACAGAGAAAACCAGAAATGCCTTCTGTGTGTCTCTGTGATAGCAGCCAACAGTAACTTCTGACCCACCAGCTGAAATTCCTTTCCATATTGAAGTGCTTCAAGAAAACATTTTGGGGTTTCCTGTAAACCAGCAAGTTGCAGGAGAACCAGAGTTTGGACCATCTCCATGACAGCACTAAGAAGACAGCAGAAAAAAAAGTAGAAAACGGGAAAAAACTACCCTGGAAATTACTACAGGTTCTAGAAGAAGAGCTTTTTAGGCTATAAAAGTGAAATCGTGCTGCCCTGCGGTACAGGCAGAACCATCTCTGGCATGCACTGAGAGCCCTCCCGGGCTGGAATGGCTCTGGAATGACCCCGGCTGGAGAAGGAGGAAATTGCAGCTCCTTTCCAAGGAGATGAGAAAGCTCTGGCCAGAGAGGGAAGGAGGTGAGGAAGTCACGGGCCACAGCTACCAGTGGCTATTTTACCTTTTTTCTAACATTATGTGCAGTAAAATGAGGAATGCTTCCCTTTTCAAAGCTAAACCATCCCAGCACAGTCCCATCTTCTCTGAGCTCAGGCACAGATTTAACCTTTTGTGTTGCATTTCTCCCTGAATAACCCAAGGAGAACAGCTCCCTGGACATTTGCCAGGCAGCAGAAACTGACCCGTTTGAAGCTCATGCAAAACCTTGCTCACGTCTGCTGTGGAACCACATTTGAGGTAGCATTTCCTCTGCCTGTTAGCCAGTCACAATGAAAAATAACCCCAGAAGAAGGGAAGGGATGGAGGGGAATAACACTTGTATTTCAAGAAGCAGCTATACCAAAAAAAACCCCTAACATCAAAATATTTCTCACTGTCAAGAAATCTCTCATCAAATCATCTTTCTAATGTGTTGCAGCTGAGGTTTCCCTTCAAAATAACATGATTATCCAGATTTTGGAGCTGTTACCTTTATCATCATCACACAGGTGCTCATGGGAACTCTTCCAGTGCAATTTGCTGCTCCTCTCCCTGTTAGGGCTTGCAAGAAGTTATCATTCAGGTCTTGTCCCATGCTTCCCAGTGACCTAGGAAAAAAAAAAAAAAAAAGGACAACTCAGAAGGGGTTTTACACGGGTTTTGTGTTCACTGCTGGGTTAAGGGTTAGGACTCAGGTTACTGGAGCCCACTTGTCTCACTCTGCTCTGCTTGTACAAACCTGCAGCCGCTCTCTGAGACTCAGCCCTTCCACAAACCTGCGACACACCAGCTGCCTCTCCACAAGCCACTTTTACCACTGCGCGTTTTCCGTAACGCACCCAGAGCACTCTGAGGGCTCATTGCACACACACAGGAACACCCCATTTCCAGCACACCGACCAACACCCGGGCAGGTATAACAGCAATTCCTCGGGCAACACCCGCACAAACCAACTCCCGGGCGCTGCTCCACCCAGCCACCACCAGGCCCAGAGCCCCCGGGGCATCACGATCTCCCTCACAGCCGGTGCCGCCGCCGGCCCGGAGCGCGGCCGCCTCACGGGCGCCATTGCCCGCCCGGCGGGGCCGCGCCCCTCCCACCGCCCAAGTTTGCCGCCCTGCCTCGCCATTGGCTGCTGCGCGCACCGCCCGCCGCGCTGATTGGAGCAGGGCGCCAGGCCCCGCCCCCCGCCCGGCCCGCCGCTCTGCGCTTGTGAGGGTCGCTCCCAGCGCTCGGAACTCTAATTTTTAAATTTTTTCTTAAAACCGGCTTGTGCCGAACCTCGCGGCTTCATAACTCTGCGCGAGTTATGGCAATAGCAGTGCGAGCCCTGTGCTCTCGGCCCTACTGCTCACAACGCACACGGGCGAAGTAACGCTTAAGAAGGAGTTTTCGGCTCCTGAGGGCAAGCCAAGCCCTCCCCCACCCCTCCGCCCGAAAAGCCTCTAGTTCCCGTATTTATTAATTTATTTATTAATTTATTTTCACTAGGAGTCTAGAAAAGCACAGAGCTGAAAGTGTGAAGATGTACAGAGCAGTGAAGCAGCGGGGAAAGGGCAAGAATAAGAAAGCGGGGGGAAACACAAGTACAATCAAGTGTGACTGCAGAGCACAGAATTATCTGGGCAAAGTCACCGTTCAAGAAAAGCATACATTGCAAAAGGTATGAGGAGGCCACCGCCCTCAGCTCTGCCTCCAGTGATAGGAAAAGGTCCCAGTGAGTTAGGTGGAAGCCTCAGAAGTAGTTCACCTTCTCCTCTGAGGAGCTTTTGAAGTAAGCCTCTCTCTGTCTTGCCTTCAAGGACTTGTAAGCTCATGAGCGAGCTGGCTCACCTCTGCTGTGCAGCCACACTTGAGGCAGCATTTCCTTTGCCCACTAGCCAGCCATAACAGAACACATAATGCCCACAGAATTATGGAGGGGATGGAGGGGAATGACACTTTTATTTCAAGCAGAGAGCCAAAGGAGATGAAGTAGATCGGCAGGGCACACCCGCTCTGTGTCCCAGCCAAAACCAGGATAGCAGGTCACAACCACTGCTGCCTTGCAGAGCATCCAGCCGTGCCTTTGCAGGACCTGTCTTTAGCACCAAGGTCATCTAGGAGAGAGACATCCAAGCTCTGCCCTCTCCTTCAAAAAGGGACCAGAGGCACTATTCTGGCTGAACACCAAGACCAGGATGCTCTCCCTGGAGCGAAACAAAAGCTCTTGAAAAGCCAAGAATAAAGGACAATTCTCCCTAGGAACTGAAGAATATTCATGCAGCCCTGCAGAAAGCAGCAATTTTAACTTGAGCCAAACCATCCTGAGACAACCAGCCGGGAGTGTGGGAGCAGCAGACGAGGCAGCAGCGACCCCACGCGTGTCCTCAGCTCCTCACTAACCTCCCATCGCCGTCCTGGAGTGTTTCCAGATGCTTTGCTCATGTAAAAAAGCCCAACATCAACATATTTCTCGCTGTCTAGAAATCTCGCATCAAATCATCTTTCTCACGAGTTCCACCTGAGGTTTTCCTTCAAAATAACGTGGTTTCCTTTCCAGATGCATTTTAAAACTGTAGATCCTCATCTCACAGGTACTTACGGGAACTCTTCCAGCATAATTTGCTGCTCCTCTCCCTGACAGGGCTTGCAAGAAGTTATGGTTGAGTTCTTGTCCCACGCTTCCCAGTGACCTTGAGAAGAAAAAGCCCAACTGTTACTTCGAATCATTGCCACAGGTTTGAAACACTATTGGATTAAGTGTCCTGTAAATTAAAGGAGATGGTCCTCAGCCTGCTGGAGCCGATTTGTCCAGTCCCTGTTCTGCTTTACAATGGTAAAATAGAAACTATGCAATGTAAGATAAAAAGTATCTAGCTCAAGAAAGAAGCTCTTTGCACGGAGACAACAGCGAAAGGGCACATAAAGAGTTACAGCCTCCTTATCGGAAAAGACAAACATCCTTCCACCTTCTCTCCATCTTTATGGAACCACCAGGATTATGGGGAAGAAGTTGACAGAAACTAGAAAAATTCTTAATTTGCAAGGAATTTATGAATAATGTACGAGATATATGAATATGCAACAGGCTATTGCTTTTAAGGGTTATTCCTTTGTTTGCAAGGCATGTTTTTGGCAGCTTAGTGCCCACAACCATCCGGATGTCCATAATTCTTTGCTTTTTTATCGTCTTGTAATTGTCCTAACTCTAAATTTTTATTACTCTAATTGCATTACTATTTTTATAACCATTTAATTATTATTTTAAAATGTAAAAACAAGTGATTGGCATTTTTAACAGTTTTAACATCTTCCTCACAGCAGCAAGCCTCATACCCTCAGCTCCCCTCCTCAGGGCTTTTCCCAGGCCGGTTGCTCCCCGCTCACCTTCAGCGCGGCTGCTCCACCGCAACCGCTGCGCTCCTGGATTGTCTCAGCCGCCGGTCTCCCGGTGCTCCCGGGCACGGCAGCTCGGGGCCCGCGTTCCTCGGCACCGGGAGCGGCACCGACACCGGGACCGGCACCGGGACCGACACCGGGACCCGCCGCCTCCCCTGCCCTGCACTACCGCCCGCTCCCCGCACGGCGGCAGCACTCCGCGCGGGGACGCTACCGCGCATGCGCGCCTCCGCAGCGCTATCCCGCCTTCAGCCACACGCGCTGCAAGGCGCCTGCCCTGCACTGCGCATGCTCCGCGTCGCCTTCAGCGGCCGCCTGACACGCCGCTCAGTGCGCATGCGCGCTCCGCCGATGCAGTATCACGCTGCGGCCAACAGGTGGCCTCACCGCGCCCAGCGGGGCAGTGCGCATGCGCCTCTTCTGCTGCAGTAGCGCAGTGCGGCCGGAGAGCGGCAGCAGTGAGGCGCGCCCGGTGCGGGCCGGGCAAAGAGCGGCAAAAGAGGGGCCAAAGGGGGGCCAAAGGGGGGCCAAAGGGGGGCCAAAGGGGGGCCAAAGGGGGGCCAAAGGGGGGCCAAAGGGGGGGCAAAGGGGGGGCAAAGGGGGGGCAAAGGGGGGGCAAAGGGGGGGCAAAAGAGGGGCAAAAGAGGGGGCAAAAGAGGGGCCAAAAGAGAGCGGGCAGAGAGCGGGCAGAGAGCGGCCAAAAGGATGCTCCCGGGGATGAGGAACATTCCCAGCAAACGCTCCCAACCCAGCACAGAGGCACCCCTGGAGCTCCTGTGTGGGGCTGGCAAGGGCTGCCAGGAGGGCACAGCCCCAGGAGGGGTGGCAGTGGCAGTGACAGCAGCCAATTGCCACGGTCTGATGGCACAGCAGGCACACAAAGGCCAGCAATGCCCACAGGAGGTGCAGGCTGACCTGCAGCATCACCTTTGCCACGTCCCGGGGAAGTCTCAAGAGGGCACATAATCTCAGGATACAAATCTGTCACCCTGATCCTGTTCCAGCTCAGTGTGGGGGCACACACCCCACACCTACAGGTAAACATTGACCTGACCTCTGTCAGTGTTAAACACAGCCCCAATTCTGACCCACAGCACAGTCCCAGAGTTTTCCTGCCCAGGGCTGAGGGCAGTCTGACACAATGTAAATATATAAATAACCTTTGCTGAGAGCAGCCACCACCCCAGTCCTCACACCTCACAAGATTTTGTAGTGAACAGACCCAACTCCTCATCCTTAATACAAATTTCAAAAACATTCCATCAGGAACATAGCAGACAGTGCATGATACACATTCATACAGCAGAATTAAAAGGAATAACAGAATATACTGCAGCTCTCCAGCACCAATGCCACTTCTCACAGACACCAAGCAGTCATCTGCTACACGTTTTGGCTTAGAGAGTAAAAACTTTAGTGCCTCTGGCTACGTGATTAAAACACACAGACGTGTGGGTGGTCATAAATGGAAAGCTTTTCAGGAGAGAAAAGAGCTGATTCGATAGCACATTTCCATACACCTTCAGAAAAATCAGAATTGCCACCAACCCCTGAAATCCTTTGTGAGGAACCCAGCCCTCCTTGGGAACACAACACAGCAGACACTGAGAAAGGAAGGAAAAACTCAAGCTTGCAGGAGGAAAAGAATAAACAACTCTCTCCAGCTTCTGCTCTGAGCAGCACAGCTGGATGTGGCAGCTGAACCATGTCACCTGCCAGTAGCTCTGAGGCCACACTCTCCAAAAACAGGGGCTCAGACACTTCCTAGCTCCGTGGGAGCACCTGCAGGGCCTCACTTGGTGTCTGCAGAACCCGTCCCACTGCTCCAATGTCAGAACTCAAAACATCCCTCAGACATTTTTGGATGTTTCAGGTCCAGGTCAGAAGCATCTGAGACCCTGGCAGGCAGCTGGAAACAGCTGTGATTTTGGGTTTGAGCCATGGAATGATTTACCAACCTTGCAGGAAGAACAAAAAGTCAGAAAAGTTTAGATATTATAGTAGAAGTAGTCACGAAGTAAAGGGAAGAATTTTTGAGTGCTGTACAGGGGGTTTTGGTTTTGCACATGGGGGTCAGAGGTTTAAGATGGAGGGATATGGGCCTGCCCTGTCCTCCCTCTTTCTTCTTCCTTACCTCCATGTTCTTGGTGATGTTGGCACTCACAGATTGGTTTAGAGTAGAAAGGCACCATTTAATATAGGTAATAGGCATTGGGGAAAAACTATAACCATGTAACACGTAATGTACCATATAAAAGATAGAAAAGCACCATTTAATATAGGTAATAGGCATTGGGGAAAAACTGTAACATGTAACACGTAATGTACCATATAAAAGACAGCAGCAGCCCTGGGCAGGGAGAGAAGAAGCAGTCGGGAGTCAGAGGGGATGTCAGGGTGTGTGTGTGCCTCTGCCTGAGCTGTGAGCAAACCACAGCAGCCCCAGAAGAAAATCTTTTAGATAACTTGCAATAAACTGCCTTGAGACTGAACAGAAGACTTCTGAGCCTTTCTTTGGAAGTTTGGGTTGGAGGAGAGACTTTTCCACCACATGGAGCCACCCTGACCTAGGGTGAGCTCTGGCACTCCAGGGTGTTTCTCCTCACAAAGACACACGTCTGACCCAAGGGCAGCAAGGGGCCTCACAGCCCCTTCCTCAGCTGCTCCTTCTC